CTTCTTCAGTACTGTTAGGGTAGCTGGCACAAATATCCATCAGAGACACATCTCTGAGTTCAAGCAAACGTTCATTGACTGAGAATATCTTCCAGGCTGCCCTTCTGCAATGTGAAGCAGACAGCCAAACTAGATATTCCAGTACAATGGAGTAGTTAAAAAATAACCTGTTTGATTTTGTGGTTGTTACTTGATTTCTTGGCTGTGGTTTTGGTAGTTAGGGACTCTTTCAGGTTGGCTCTAATGGGATGGTTCTGCCTGGGTGGATAGGTGCTGATTATCAAAATGGAGTTACTTTGGCCTATGGACCTAACAAGTACTAGGGTGACTTTTATTTTAAAAACTTAAAGACTGGTTTTAAGTATAACTGTTAAATCTTGAATAGAGTTCTTTTTATCCAGAAATGATGAAACAATGGATTTTTTTCATATGATCAAACATCTAACTAAAAATAAATGGAAGCAGAAAAAAAATGAAGGAAGTAAAGTTATAGATATTATATACGTAAATAATGTTATGGATCCTATTTTCTACCTTATGTCTTATTACCATAATATCACATCTCTAATTCCTGGAATACCTAAAATTTTACTTATTTAGCCACACAATATTTCATAAACTTTAGTTAGAGAAAATTCTCTAGAAAAAGACTGTGGCCTGATATAAAACAAATAGTTTTACAGAATACAGAATTCTCTGTTTTATGTAAAATATTAGGGTCTATACACCACTTATTTATGTCTTGTTAGCTATTGCAAACAAAACATGCTGTTATACTTTTTACAAAAATGTAAATAATTTATGTATGAAAATTGGAGATAGTTTCTTAAACTACACACTAAAATAGTTCATTTTCTTAAAATAAAAAATATGAAACATAAATTCCAAAAAAACCCAGAGAAAAGAATTTTTATTAATAGCATTCAGAGAGGTATATTTTCTACAGTTCTGATTGGGAGGCAAGATATTTGGTCCCACATGTATTGCTCTAGAAAACACTTAACTATCTTTTGAAAAGGATTTTGATACTCAAACAAAAATTTTGTTCAAGTTTGGATGTGAGGTATCACCCAAAAGCTTACACATGAGACAATGCAAGAAGGTTCAGAGGAGAAATGGTAGGGTTGTAAGACTCTTAACCCAATTAATGAGGTAACCCCACCCCCACTCCACATAGGGATTAACTGGTAACTGAAGTGGTTGGATGTGGCTGGAGGATGAAGAAATTGGGGGCGTGGCATTGGAGTATATATTTGTAGCTGATAAGTAGAGACCTGTCTCTCTGCTTTCTGATCATGAAGTGAGCTGTTTCCCTCTGCCATACTCTTAGGCCATGATGTCCTACCTCACCTTGAGCCCTGTGGAATGGAGTCTGCTGTCAATGGACTGTGACCTCTAAAACTGTAAACCTCCAAATAAGCTTTTCCTCCTCTACAATTGTTCTTGTCAAATCTCCTAGTTACAGGAGAACAAAAAAGCTGACTAAATAAACCTTCAATATTTATAGAGAAAAAAGAAACAAAATCCAATAACTTTAGACTAGGGAAAACTCAGCTATGCTGTGGGTGTTGTACTCTCTTTAGTTCATGTCAAAATGTAATCCCCAAAGTTGGATGTTTATTGTGTTTTGCAATGGTACTTTGGGGAGATAATTAAATGAATTTGTTAGTGTGGGGCCCCTATGACTGTAGTAGTGACTTTATGATAATAGAGAGACAGTGCAGTGACCAGCATCACCTTGGGACTCTATAGAGTGCACAGCAGGAAGAAGGAACTCACTAAGTACTGCCACCCAATCTTGAATACCTTATCCTTCAGAAACAAAAGCTGAATTGGTCCTTGTTTCTTCATAGATTTTTCAGATCTATGATATTCAGTTCTAACAGCAGAAACGGCCACTCAAAAATCATAGATAATTTTAAAAAATAGAATAACTCAATGAGCATTTTTGTAAGAAATCTCTTGGAAGAAATCAAGAATAAACTCTATCTAAAAGGAATGAGTTGGGAAAAAAAGTGTTCACTCCTCTTTGAAGTTATTCCCACCAAGGGATAGATTTGTTTTCACCAACCCTTGCATGTGGATTGTTTTGAATTTAGCCAGTATAATTCAACAAAAATGTTTTATACCACAAATCTTTTCTTTCTTTGTCTGAATTTATCTTTCCAAAGTAGCATTGCCATTTAAAAATTATTATTTTGTGTTGCTGTCATATTGTAATATGCATAGAGCTATAAAAATTGAAATGGAAATAGGTATCAGTATTGGGAT